CCAGGACACGGCAGGGAAGACGGCCGTTCCCGGCGTCGCGGGGGACGCAAACAGACCGAACCTTCCACCGCTGTTGCAGGAGCCGCTACATCGAACGCTAAAGACACAACATTTCAACAGAGAGACTGGGAAAAACAGAGGAAGCCTTCTGTTCTATCAGACCAAGCAGAACTGAACGCAAATCGGAATGCAGGGCAACAAGCAGTGTGAAGACAGAGCCAGCACAGAGTCACGTGTATCGGAAGGCAGACTGATGTTACACTTGTATCCACATGAGAATGTAACCCGAGGGGAGGTGAATCGATACTCAACTGCAAGGAAAACGCACAGTTCTCCGGTGCAACGTTCTAACACACACACCTCTCAACCGTTAAAAGACTCAGACAATGCAAAAAGCACACAGCAGCTGTGATGCATCTGACGGGTGTGTCCGTGTCCCCGCCCCCGCCTCATGGAGGGGCGGTGGGCTGTCTCCTGGAGAGCCACGCCGGTCGAGTTTGAAACCGAGCGCGGGCGAGCCCCGCAGGGAGACCCAGCAGGCGGCCAAGAACCCATATTCCGTGAATCATGGTTTCTGACGACAAAGCAATTAAGCTAGAAACCAATGTAAAAGGGTAACTAAAAGAATCCCTGTGCATTTGGAAACGAAAACAAGACATTTCTAAATAACTCATGCGTCAATAAAAACAGATCACGGTGGAAATAAAACGTAGACATGAAGAATTACAAACCCTCACAGAAAACACTTGCAGTGCGAGCCCAGGCTGGGCTGCGGTCGGCTGGGGGTTGGTTCTGGGGCCGTGGGCCCAGGAGTCCCAATGGGGGAACCGTGGCCGACCCTGCGCTGGTGTTTATGGGACGGCCGGGAAGGGGAGGCAGCCCGGGCAGGGACAGTGCCCCTCGGTGGAGTGGGCTTCGCCGCTCCTCACTACGGAGGAGAGGCCGGGTCCCCTGGCGCCCACAGCTGGGTGGGCGAGCTCATCCTTGTTTTCCGGAAGCCTTGAAGCCAGGTGTTAGCGGGCTGGGGAGCCCTGAGCAGGGGTGCCCTGGGGGTTGGGCTCCCCGGGGCTCTGTGCACCGAGCGACCCTCCCCCTCCCCCGTCCCACACCCATGCAGGTGGCAGTGCCCGGCCACCCTGGCAGGAGACCAGGAGGGGCCAGGCCGCAGCGGCTGCAGCGGGTGGGGCCCCCAGCAGCCCCGAGCGGGGAGGCCCACCACGTTCATGCGCTGAGCCTGCTTCTGGTTCTCAGGTGCAGCCTCGCCCGGGGTGGGCTTATGCTGGGATGGCCCCACCACAGACGGTACGGGTGGTGCTGTCTAGTGGGGGAACATTCTAGCACAAAGGCTGTGGTGCCCATTGTGGAGAGGGATGAGCACCTCTCCTGCGGGTCTCCTGAGCCTGTGGGAGGGGCCCGCAGCACCTGCCTGCCGTGCCCGCCCGGTGCACGGGCCCCCGAGGGTGCAGCGGGGGCCTGGTGGGCTGCCTGGTGCCCTGGTGCAGGCACCTGAGCCCCTGCCTTGCCCCTGCCCCTCGAGGCTGGGGAGGGGCCTGGGGAGGGGACTGCAGGCGGGGGCTGCCCCTCCCATCTCTCCGGGCCCCCAGCCTGGCGCCCTTCCAGCGGCTTCCAACAACGCAGCCTGTCTGGGCAGCCACGGGCCCCGCGACTGGGGCCTTCCTGGGGCCTGGGGAGGAGGGGCCTGGCGGGTCCTTCTGCAGCGAGGCCGCGGGGGCAGCAGGAGACGCTGCGGGTCCCCGAGCGGGAGTTCGGGCTCCTGCTGCCGGGCCGGCCGGGAACTGCGGCGGGCATGGGGCCATGGGAGAGGCGGGGACCTGGTCTGCGCATCGGCGTCCCGCAGAGGCCGGCGGGCTCAGAGCCTGCGGAGCCAGCCGCGCTCCAGCCGGCTCCGGGGCAGAGCCTGCGGGAAGGCGCCCGGGCTCCCCGCAGGTCAGTGGCCCTTCGCTGGGGTCGCAGTGCCGCCCTGCAGCCTCGGTGCCCACGCAGACCTCCGCCTGGCCCCCTGGAGGAGGCTGCTCCCCGCCCCCCGCCCCCGCCCGGGGGGGGGCAGCACGCACACCCCTCAGAGGGAAGTGTGGGGGGGCCTGGGCCCGGGGAGGGGGCCCGTACTCACCTCGGCTCTGGGCATAGAGGAGGCCCAGGGCCACCAGGGCGCCCGTCACCAGGAGCAGCAGGAGCAGCAGGCTCCCCTCCAGGAAGCTGGGGCGCTTCTGCCTGGACCTGCCGGCCGTCTCCACTGTCCCCACCGGGTGTTCGAGCTGCCCCATCGCCGCGTCTCTAGGCAAGAACAGTGCACGGCTGAGCACCCCCAAGGCCAAGGGCAGGGGCGGCGCCCACCCAGGGCAGGGGTGGCACGGCGTGGAGCTTCTGAGGCCCTGCCTGAGGCTGGAAGGGCCCGATGCTGGCTGGGAGCAGGTGCCAGGGCTTTTCGGGGAGCTCAGCCCTTCTCTCCATTGCCAAGTGCGTGCCCTCACCCTCGCCCCTGTGCTGCAGGCTGCCCACGCCCTCCTGGGCCGGGGTCTCTGAGTGCCCGGGGCCCCGGGGTGGGGGACGCCCAGCCTGCTGGTCCCAATGGCAGCCTCTTCTGCAGGTTGGCCTCTCCCAGTCCCGGGTCTGGCAGGGACTGGTCTGCGGACCCCCCATCCCCCCACCACTGCTCACAGCGCGGGATCCATGTGGCGGGTCCGGGAGGCCCACCGCCCTGAGCAGGCTGGGGGGCTGCGGCACAGAAACCTGCCAGGGCCACTCACACCCACGGGCCACACGCTCATTCTAGCCCATGCATGTGAGTGTGCGATGAGAGCAGGGGTGCTCCGTGTACGTGTATGAGTGTGCGTGCAAGCACCTGCATGCGTGTGTACCTGTGGGAGCGTGCACATGTGTGGGTGGGTGTGTGTGCGTGCACCCCCTTTGCAGGGAGTGCCCGGTCGCCAGGACCCCCGGGGCCGATGCCGGGGGCCGACGCCGAGGGCCGGCCTGACCTCTGTCCTGGCTCACGGGGCATCTCAGACGGACTCCCACCCTTCTGGGTGTCCCCCTGCCACCTGCCACCTGCCCTGGCGTGAGGGGAGAAGCCAGGCCCACACAGATCTCAGGACCCTGGGTCCCTGTCACCTCCCACGTGCCCCCCCGCCATCCTCCCCACCCAGACCCGCTGCCACCTTCAATCCCTGCACAAGGCCCCCCAGCGAGGCCCCCCCGGGGTTCGGACTTGGTGCAGTCGGCCCCAGCACCCCTGCACCCCAGGCTTATTTCTGTTTACTGCCAGACCTCCACCCTATTTCTATTTCCACTTCCGCCTGCCCCTTGGAGATATCAGTGCCACAAGGCAGGGGTGTCTCCCGGGGCCCCGCTGCCTCGGCACTGGTCAGCGTCTTTGACTGGACAGGCAGTGGGACTGCTCTGGGCCGTGGCCGAGCGTCTGAGTCTGGGGCTCTGGTCCCACCAGTGACCGGGGGGTGGGTGGGGGTGGGCCGGGACGAGGAGTTCCCTGCCTCACTCTGAGGAGCCGCTTGGCCCGTCCTGCTCGCTCTGGGGCAGTGACAGCCTTCGGGCCCGGGGCTGGGGCTGGGGCAGCGACAGCCTGGCTGCGGCCCCCCAAGGGTGTTGCAGCTGCAAACACGGGGTCCTTACGGGACGGGCCCTGGGCCTGGGAGCTTCCTGCCCCAGGTACAGGGGAAGCTGCGTGGGAAATGCCCCGCCTGCCCCGGGGCAATGGGCTCAGGGCTCGGAGGGTGCTCTTGGGGGCTGCTGGGAGGGCTGGTCCGGTGGGCAGGGCCCCCCTCGGCTCACCCACCGCTGAGCCGCTCAGAGCAGCCGTCCCCACGGGCAGGGCGGGGTCAGGAGGGCCTGGAGTTCGAGTGAGCGGGGCCGGGCGGGCGGGCTCCCAGGCGCAGGAGGCAGTGGCTTCGGGGCTCCGTCAGGCCTGGTGGCTGCCAGGCCCCTTTGTGACGCAGGGGCCCCCCGCGTTCCGAGTTCCGACGGCCGGTGCGGGGGCGGGGCCGAGGGCGGTTCCTGGGTGCCCCGGCTCCCTGCTGCCTGGGTGGGTGTCCCCTCCACGGACTCTGGCCCTGCTCCTGACCCTCCCTGCCTTTGCTCCTCGACCCCTCCATCCAAGGGGGCCGCAGAGACTGCTGGGAAGGAGGGCGGCCCCTTCTCCCACACTGCCCACCTGGCCGACAGGTGCGGGGGTCAGCACCCGAGCACCGGGTGGGCGGTGGGTTGGCGAGGGCTCCGTCTCGGGCGTCCTTTCCTGTCGGTCCCCAGGGAGGTTCTGGGGGCCTCGCCCGGGCGTGACGGGTGCGGGCAGAGCGGCTGGTGGTGGGGGGGCCCAGACCAGAGACGCCCACGTTTGCCGGCGTGGGCCATGCTGCCTCCCTCGGCCCCTGGGGTCTTGAGGCTCGCTCCGCCGCCCTGGCTGGGAGGCAGGGCGGGGGCTTGGGCTGGGCGGGCAGCCAGTGCTCGGGGATGAGACTCAGCTGCCCCAGCCCTGCCGACTGGGGCCGGGGGCCCGGGCAGAGCAGGTTCCGATCCGAGCTCGGACTTCCCTTCTTTACACCTGACCGGCTCTGCTTGTGTCAGAACCCCACGGGATGAGTGGTCCCCCCAGGCCCCTGGGACTCTCTGAGGGTGCCTCGTGGGCCTGGGCCCCCGGCCAGGTTCTTCTTTCTGAAAACTCCGGGGGCCCCATCACCGCCTGTGTAGGGGCCGCTGCCTCCCGTCTCCCGAGACTGAACACTTTCCCTTACTTGCCAAGTGAGCCCACGCCCAGGGACCCCAAGACGGCCCAGACACCCGCCCCCACCCCAGTGGGGCAGAGCTCCGGGCCCATGGCCCCTCTCTCCCCCCTCGACCTCCCGTGTGACCCCAGGCGGGCCCCGCCCCCTCCAGGGCCTGTGCGCTATCAGCCCTGCTCCCCCGAGCTCCCCGATGGCTCCCGCCAAACCGCCTCCTGGCGTCCAACGGACCTTAAGGACCGGCCCAGCCGCGACCCTTGTCCCACGTGGGGACGCGTCTGCGGTGCTCAGGAGGTGGCACAGGCCCAGAAGAGCGTCCCGGGCCCTCCTGGCGGGGACCGCCCCTGTCAGCGGGTCAGGACCTCACAACAGTGTGCTTGTGCTTTTCCCCGCCTTAAAAAAAAACAGATTTATTCTTTAGGGAAGGGGGAGGGAGGGAAACCTCGGTCGGCTGCCTCTCCTACGCTCCCCGATCAGGGACCTGGCCCACAACCCGGGCGCGTGCCCTGGCTGGGAACTGACCCGGGTTGCTTTGCTCCACGGGCCGTCACCCACCGGCCGAGCGGCAGCGGCCAGGGTGCTTCCGCTCGCCGCCGGCTCGTCTGTTTGACGGCACTTTCGAACGCCCGCATTTTGGACTGATTTATTAGCTCCTCCATTCTCCTGCTCCCATGTACTGACTTCTGCCGTTCTTACTAATTCCCGCCTTTGGATTTCCTTCGTTTTCCGTCTTTTCCTTACTCCTCAGGCCGGGCACGCACATCACCGCATTGGCCTGGGCTGCTGCGTCGTGTGCGTCCTTGGCCGGAGCCCGCGCCGGGGCCGAGGCTGTGCCCTGGGCGTTGCACCCCCAGACAGTTTTTGTCACGATTGTGTTTCCGAAACTGCAGTGCCAGGTTTGATTCCTCTTGAATCCAAGAGTTGTTTCGTGTTTGGGGGTGGGGAAACAGCCCCTCACTGCCTGGAGGCTGGTGATACATCCTCCCGCCCCGCCCCAGCATTCTGCTCCGCCCCCCGAGCGGGGCCGGCCGGGCTATGCCCACTGAGTGCCCGGCGTGGGGCTGGGGCCGTGGTCGGCCGCGGCCTCCACCTGCAGTGGGTTGGGGGGGAGCGCCCTGAGGCAGGCTGGGCCTCGAGGCAGCACAGGCCCTGCTCAGGGAGCCGGGGGGTGGGCTCCCCTGCAGGGTCCCCAGGCTGTCGTCTGCTGAGGAACCGCCCCACACTGGGGTGTGGCTCCCAGTCACCCCCCGAGTTGACTGTGACCGTGCACTAATTGCTGGACCTTTCCAGCCCCCACTTCCCAAGTGGAACGAGGCTACTTTGGGGAGAAGAAAGCAGGAAATGCGTGAAAGCCTTTTGGGGACTGCCACACGGCACCACTGGGCTGGTGAGCTTGTTGGGAAGCGGTCGGCACCATCTTCCTGGCTTCTGCCCCCGCACCCCTGCCCCGAGCCAGGGGCAGGGCACCTGCGAGCAGGCTGGTGCCCAGCAGTGGGGGCAGAGCTGAGGTCAGGTTGCCAGTCTTTGAGGGGAGGGCTGCCCTCCAGCAGGACACTTCCAGACCTGGGTCGTGCCGGCCTCCAGATGGTCAGGGAGGAGGGGGTGGGTCTGCCCAGGAGCACGGGCAAGAGTCTGCGGAGCACCAGGTCCTGGGACTCGGGCCGGGGCAGCCCTGGGGACACTCCTGCAGGCTGTGTTCCAGGATGTGGTGGCGGTGGAGTGTGGGGGTCACTGCAGTGTGGGTGGTCTCGGAACCCTCCCAGCAGGGAGGGGGTACGGGAAAGTGAGGCCTGCCTGCCCCCCCGTCCTCAGGCCTGGCTACCTGTTTTCAGGGAAGACGGCAAGGCCAGGCCAGGCCCAGGCTGACGGAGAATGGTGACACAGGTGTAACAGAGCAGTGACGGGCAGTGCTGCCCCTTGTCGGGAGGCGCCCCTGGGGTGAGGGGGCCGGGCAGGGCGGCTCTGATGTGGCCCTCCCTGAGTGGCGAGGTGGGGGCAGGGAGCCCTGAGGTGGGTGGGGGGACAGCAGGTGCAAATGCACGCAGGCGATGACGCCACTGGACTAGGTCTATCTTCCCCAAGCTTGGAGGCTGGGCCTTCTCCTCCGACCTTGACCCCTGGGCCAGCCCCCACCTCATGGCCTTAGAGCGGACTCATCCACAGGAGCCACTGCCAGAAGGGCCGCAGGTCCAGGGTTTCAGTGGCCCGTCCAGCACAGCTCATTCACGAACCTGAGAGAAACCCTGTGACTGGGCCCTGGCCTCTGGGGGGCAACCCGGCGGCCACGGGCAGGACTGCACTCCTCGCTGCCCCCACCGCGGCCGCCCCCAGCCCGAGAGAGTTTCCAAGCAAACTGAGGGCAAGTTTAATCCACAGGGTGGGTGTGTGTGTGTGTGTGTGTGTGCGCCCTTTACACCCCCACAGCTTTGCCCGAAGAGCCAAGGAGAAGCCCAGCCTTTCTGCTCATTAATGGGGTGGTCTCTCTCTCTCTGCTTGGCAGGGGGCGGGGCCACATGGTCCCCATGGCCGCAGTGGTGGGTTTGGGCCCTGGGCTCCCCAGGAGAACGGCTTCATCCAGGCGGGGGTCTCAGCAGGCAGGCCCCAGCTGGGGAGTTCTGTCCTTGGGGGGCCCGCCTGAGGCTTAGGCCAGGATCAAAGACAGCTTCATGTCCCCTCTCCCCAGGGCCACCTGGGGCTGACCTCAGTCCTGTCCAGCCTGCTGGCCCCACGCCAGGGCCACGAGGACCCAGCTTTGGGGACCAGGACGCCGCTGCAGCGAGGGCTCCTGGGCCCCCCCGGCTGGTCACTCCAGGCCAGTGGGACTCCCTTCGCTCTGCTTCCCGGGGCTGGCGGTCCACCGCGGAGCCACCCACCCCGGGGCTCGGAGGGTGGGAGGGCGGGGTGACCACCCCCTGGTTTGGGGGACAGTGACAGGGGGCCCTGTGACTGGGCCTGGCGAGCGTGGGGTCAGTGGAGCCGGCAGCCCGAGGCCGCCTCCCTGCGGACCCTGGCCTTCAGCCGCTTCAGGCCGCCGTGCTCGGGGTCGAGCAGGAGCCCACCCTCAGCCGCCGCCCAGGCCTCGGCGTACCGCTGGCCCTGCAGGCAGCGCTGCCCCTGGCGCAGCAATGCCTGGGCAGCGGAGGCCCGGCCCGGCTGCGCCCACAGGCTGTTTTGGGCCGGGGTGGGCGCCAGCTGGAGGGCCTGGGTGAAGGCCCTGGCGGCCCCAGCCTCGTCCCCCAGGCTTAGCAGCAGGCGGCCCCTGGAGCACAAGTCCTCGGCCCTCATCGGGAGGTCACCACCCCCTGCGTCCTCCCGGAGCACAAGGTCCAGGTCTCCGAGTGCCCGGCCGAACTCCTGCAGCTCCGCCAGGCAGGTGGCCCGCAGGCGCAGGTGACAGGCACTGCCACCACCGGCCAGGACGGCCAGCGAGCAGTAGCCCAGTGCCTGCCTGGGCTGCCCTGCGGTCAGGAGGCTGCGGGCTTCCTGGACTGCGGCCTGCGGAGGGGGCAGAGGAAGGGAGCGCAGGTCAGCCCGGAATGTCCCAGCCCCTCCTGGCCCTGCACAACCCGCTTCTGTGGAGGAGCTGCCCGAACGCTCCAGGTTGGGGGCACCTCCACCCGGCCAGCTCTGAGTGTCTGCCCGACCCACCTCCCCACTGCCACCCCACCGGGGCGCACGGGTCACACCAGGCCTCAGTGGAACTTGTGGACGTGGCAGTAGAGGTCCCAGGCGTGCAACCCCACTGGCCCGGAAATTCTGCAGGCCGCTCGGGGGTCCTCCTCACTATCCCCTCCCTCCCTGACCTGCTGCTGTTCTCATCTGGGCGCCCTCCTCCCTCGGCTCCCCTCCTGAGCCCCCTGCCCACCCTCCCGAGGAGGCAGCCCGGCTGGCCCTGGGGACAGTGGCAGACACTGCCTCTGCCCAGCCCGCTCCTTGCACCCCCTCCGCGGCCCGAGGTCAGGAAGCACGAGTGGGCTTCTCACTATGGCCCTGCAGAGCCGGCCACAGGTGGGGACAGGCTGCCGCCGCACTCTACCCCAGCGTCTGGCGGCGCGAGCCCCGGGGCCTCGTCGGCTGCCTGCCCTCCGGACTCACTGTCCCTCCCTGAGCGCGGCCGCAGCCCGGCCTGCCCCTGGGTAACTCCGCCGGCCTCCTAGGGATCCTGCCTGCCCCCGTGGCCCCCACCGGAGAATAAAGCACATCAAGACCCCGCCTGAACCGCCGTCCCGCCCGCCCTTTTCTCGGTGCGGTCTGGTTGTCGTGCCGACGCCCCCTCCGCGCCCTGTCCCCAGGGGAGGCACGGGGCGCCCCGACACTCGGCAGGGACGCTGTCGGGGAGCACAGACGCCGGGTTGGGACGCAGACGCGAGCGCCTGGCCGGGGGAGGGAGGCCTGGCTGGGACAGTGTCCGTGGCGTCGCGGTTAGGGCTCCTGCCGGGCGCCGTGGTTCGGCCGTCCCGCCAGACCGACAGCGCCCAGCTCGCCCTTAGCCGCGAGACTACGTCCCGCGGCTCCGCCTCCCTAGGCCGGGCCGCTACGCGGGCGCAGCACCCTCCCGACAGGCTCCGCGCGGTCCCTGCCCTGGGGTAGGCCCACCGGCTATGCGCAGGCGCAGTACCACCGCCGGAAGCGGGGCGCGACCACTTCCGACTCCTTTCCCGGAAGGCTTAAGTCATTGGACAACTCGCGGGTTGCTCCTCCCCTACCCCCAGAAGCAGAAGCCGACCTCCCGCGCGCCCCGCGCAGCCCCCTCTCTGCCAAGAGACGTCCCTCTCTGCGTTCTTGGTCCGCGTGACACGGGCTCACTCTGCCTCCCTCGGCCCCCGGTGGCAGCGCCCCCCGCATGACCCATTGCCCTTTGCGTGTAGCCAACTCTGTTAAACCACCCCCCCCCCACCCCCCGTTGAAACACCTAGAGCTGTGTCTCTCCCCGGCGGACCCTGCGTGCTGGGGCCCACGAGAGCCCCGGATGCTCCAGGCCACACGGGCGCGAACCCCACGTCCTCCGACCCCGAAAGCATGCTCTGCTCTTGGCCTCCCTCCCCGCAAAGGCTCAATTCAGCCGCGCCGGGAGGCGCAGTTTCGGTGCCACCCTGTGCCTCGGGTAGTGGAGGGGCCGCGGTGGTCAGACTGGACCAGGACACGCTGCCCTCCGCACAGGCCCCCCAGCTCCTGCAAGACGGCTCCAGGAGAGCTTAGGCCGAAAGCCTCTCCCACCCCAGCCCCCGCCCCCTCCACGCCCCGTCAGCAGCACTCTGAGCTCTGCCCCGCGTCCAGGACGGGCCTTGGCCTGTCTCTCCCCCCCGCGGCTTCGCCTCCTGTGCGCCCGCCCTCGGTGCGCCACGGCCCTGTTCTAGGGTCTCTGCAGCACGGACACTCTCTGAAGTGACCTCTGCAGTGTCCCCTGAGGGCCGCGGGGCGGGGCTGTGGCTCCACCCAGCACCTGCTGGAAGGTGCTCTGGCATTCTTGCCGGATCAAGAGTGGAATGAAAAATCAGCTTGTGGGAGAGGCGAGGAGCCCGGCCTGACGACCCTTTGCAGGCCCCTCTCGGCTCCGCACCTGCCCTCTCGCTGGGAGGGACCCCTCTCTCCTGGCCTGACCTCGGGGTGGGGCGGGCTTCCTGCAGGAGCAAGGTGCTCCCGGCTGGCTCTGCCTGGCTCTGAGGAGGGGGTCCTCTCCCTCTCCCCTACTCAAGCCACTTGCTCCTCATGCAGAGAAGCCAGAACATTTGGGGAGTGGCCAGGGCTGGAGAGGGCAAGCCTGGGTGCCTCCTGCTCACAGCCCACCGCCACCTGGAATCAGCACCCAGGGGATGCAAAGCAGCCCAAGCCCCTGGGGTGCTGGGGAGGGCTGATGTGGGGCTCCCAGGGGGGTACAGGCACCTGGGCCAGGCCCTGCCGCTCCGAGGCCTCCAGGAGACGCAGCAGGAAGCCGAGGTCCCCAGCGTCCGTCTCCGCCAGGCACTGCAGGTCCCGGGAAGCAGCTGGTGTGTCTCCCTTCTTGAGCCGGAGCAGGCCGCGCCGGGCCCGGGCAGCCTCCGACGGCGGGGTCGGGTGTGGGGCTTCTTGTAGGCGGGTGCCAGCCTCCTCGTAGCGGCCTGTCGGGGATCCGGGAAGGGCAGTCAGGGTGGCTTTGCAGCAGTGGCTTGAAGAGGTGGGACTTGGCCACGGCACGAGGGAGCCTGCCACAGCCTGTCCCGCTCCGTGCTGGCTCGGGGAGCAGCGGGCTGACAGAGGGGCTCGGTGCTGGGAGGAAAGCCAGGAGCAGAGGCACCTGGTGACACCACGCTGGTCACGTGGACTTGCCTGCTACCAGCAGCCCCGTCTTGGGGTGGGGGTGTCACCGGAGTCCCTGACCCCCAGGCCGAGCAGCATGGCTCTGAGCCCCTCACCGTGGTCATCACACGGCTCTGCTCTTTCCTGGGTGGCCTGGGGAGCAGGACAGCAGGGGACGGGAGCCGGGGAGGCCTGGGTCCGGGCACCTCTGAGGACTGGAAGGTGAGGACGGCAGGCGGGGGACATACAGGCCACACAGAGACCTCCCCTTTCAAGTACGTACTGACGCACGTTCAGACCGTTTCAGGAGCGGCTGGCGTTTGGGCGCGTGTGGGTGTAAGGCGGCCCCACCTGCTCGGGGCCTGGGCCCTGGGGGCACCCGGTCCTCTGGGGTTACCTCGGAGGCCCGGGTGCCGCAGGAAGCCCCATTTCTCCCCGCTGCGGGCAAAGCCACACAGGTGCCCGGGAGCTGCAGACGTGCCGTGAACACCAGGCCCACGCAGGGACTGGGTCCCAGGAACGGGGATTCGGGTGGACGGGACCGTGGAAGCCCCCCAGTCTAGGGTCTCTCTCCTGTTCTACAGAACAGACTCCGGGGCTGGGGGGGCGCTGGGACGGACACCAGTGCCCACGCCGGGCTGCTGCGCACCCATCGCGGCGAGCACGTCCACCAGCAGGAGGCGCCCCCTCAGCTGCCCCGCCTCAATTCGGATCAGGGCCTCCCCCACGGTGAGGAGGCCCTGGGCGTCGCTGTCACCGACGGGGGCCCCGGCGTCCAGCCGCTGGCTCAGGAGGTCCCGGCAGCGGGACGACAGGCCCTGGGCGATGAGGGCCTGGGCCTCTGGCTTCAGAGAGCGGATCTCAGGGACCGCCGTGCTCGCGTCCAGCTGCAGGGCCAAGAGGGCGTCGTCCACAGCCTCCTGCAAGGGCAGAGTGCAGGGTGGGTGGCGGAAGGGGTCCCAGGGGGTGCTTGTCCTCCCAGGGGACACTGGGAGGGGTGGGCAGTCCAGTCCCTTCTCTCTCGCAGCTGGGGTGGGGGGCGTCAGCCAGAATGAGGCGCTCCTGGCCGGGTCCCATTTCGGCTTTAATGGGCTTGTCTCTGCAAAGCACGTTGCTTGCTGGGCACGGGCAGGGGCGTCCAGGGGCTGGGTTCTGACCACAGGGGCGCCCAGGCCGGGACACACGGGGGGCTGACAGCACCCTTGGGGGGAGCGGACGCCCTGACGGGCAGGAGCAGGAGCCGCCCGAGGTGTCCTGGCGCCGTTTCCCTGGCTCCCCAGGGCCGCAGCCCCGCAGCGAGTGCGAGGGCCTGGCGGGCGGGCTGCCTCCGCGCCGCTCTTGCGCCCAGTGGAGCTGCAGGCGGACGGCCAAGTGCAGTCGCTTGCCAGTGACCTTGCTCTTGGCTGAGAAGTGCCTTGTCACTGGGCTGTGGCTGCCTCTGGGCACGTCTCCTCCAAGATAAACACCTGTCCTGGCCCCTGGCGGAGGACCCCTCCTGCCCGGCCCCGCCCCGGCCCCTGCACGCAGATGATCCGGAGCCACAGGCCCTGTGTGGACAGGGCAGGGTGGCGCCCAGGGTCTCGTTATTTTCAGCTGAGGGCCCCGTGGGAGCCCTGAGGGTTGGCACGTGTCCCCGTGCCGACGGAGGCTGGGAGGCCCAGGACCCCTCAGGTGACAGGGAAGGACTCTGAAACTGGGGCTGTGAAGGGTGTCTCACCGTTAGGACGGCCTGACCCCCTGCTCCCTCTCTTCTTGGGGGTCGGGAAGGAAGGCGGCACCCCCCCAGAGAACCCCCCAGTCTGCCAGCCCCGGGGTGGGGAGGGCAGGGCCGGTACCTGCCGCCGGTCCAGGGCCAGATGCAGGAGCGCCCGGCCGCACCGGGCCCGCACGTTCCCGGGCTCGGCCCGCAGCAGGGAGTCGAGGTCGAACATGGCGGTCTTCCTCTGGCCCAGGAACCCGTAGCACCGGGCGCGGGCGAGCAGGGACTCGCTGGCCTGGCCCCCTGGGAGGGAGGGCTGGGTCAGGACCGAGGGCGGGCACAGCGCATCTGTCTGCATCCAGCTCTGACGGCACCCCTCCTGGTGCCCCGTGGGGGAGAGAGACCCAGAGGGTGTGCCAGCTGCGGGGCCCCTCGCGGAGCTCACAGGCCCCTGGGCACCAAGACGGAGCAGGGGTGGCGCCTGGGAGGGCCGGTGGGCAGCAGAAGGGGCTTCCGAGAGAAGGGGCGTGTCCCCTGCAGCCGCATCTGAGGGGAGGGGCCGGGAGGAGGAAGGGCCCTCGGGGTGGGCATGGAGCGGCCACAGCGTGAAGGTGCCAGGAGGGTGGGGAGGAGCCCCCCGAATCCTGGGCACAGGAGTCCGCTCCCCAGAGAGGCCGCCACCACCGTGCTGCTGCTGCCATGTGTGTGTGCCCAGCGACAGGCACGGGAAACGCTGTTCCGGGTCCTGCAGGACACGCGGGGTGTGTCCCCTTCCCAGCTAGCGTGCGTGGGGTGTGAACTCACTCACACCGGCCGCCGTCCCCGGCTGTCCGAGAACCAGCGCACCTACCCCTCGCTCCGAACCCACTCGGTGTCCCCATCACCCCCCTCGGAGGGGAGGCGCCCCCTAAGTGCACAGCCTGAAGTCCGCCGGCATCCTGATCCCAAGTCTGCGCCGAACCCCGGGCTCCCCAGGAGCTCACTGTGCCCCCTTGGGCGTGCACCTTCCCTCGTCACCCTGCGGGCCCCTGGCCGGCACCCTGGCCGGCACCCTGCCCGGCGAGGCCGGTGGGCCGGCTGGGAGAGCGGGGAGGCCGGGCGCACACACACGCGGAGACCCGCGCCCTTTCCTCTCGGGCAGGGCCGGAGGGAGGTGAGCAAAGCCGGCAGAGGAGCCTCAGCTGGCCCTCCCGCCCTCAGGGCCTGGGCGTGCTGAGGCCCCCGCAGGCTCCTCTCCTGGGCTTTAGCCTGGGCCTCAGTGCAAAATGCCCCCCGAGGGCGCACGACCCTGGGACCCCAGAACCAAAGGCGGGCTTGGGCACCCTCGGCCCCACCCCTGGCTCGCCGGAGGCTCCCGGAGCCCCACGCATCCGGCACAGGACGGGGGACCCGTGGGCGGGCAGGCAGCTCCCACCTGCAGCAAAGATGGCCAGGGAGAGGTAGGCGATGGCCTCCCGGGTGTGAGCCTCGCCCTCGGCCCCGCCTGGCCGCGCCCGCAGGAGGGCCAGGGCCCGAGCGTGGCAGTGGCCCCGCAGCAGCTGCCGGTCCTCCGGGCGGAAGACGTCCAGGGTGGGCTGGAGACAGGTCGTGTCCCCGGACTGGACGACCTTCTTCACCAGCTGCAGGGGGCAGGAGGGTCATGGCAGTTCCTCCCCGCACCCCAGTCCTTTCCACCCCTCTGTTCCCGGCCTGGCTCACGGGGGCGTGGCCAAGGAGGACGCAGCCCACAGGGGGCTGGGCTCAGGGGGGTGAGTGGCTGACAGAGGTGTGGCCCCCCAGGAGGCGTGGCCCACAAGGGGCATGGCTCCTGACCGGGAGAGGAGGGCCTGTCTCCAGTGTGGAGCAGGGGAAGGCTGGGGGTCCGGGGGTGTGGGCGTCCTTTAGGGCTGCTCCTCTCCTTTGTGTTGCGGGGGGCAGTTTGGGGTGTCCCAGTGTTCCTGATCTGCGCCCCCTCCTCTGTACATGGGAGACAGGAGCAAAAGTCCTGGGACCAATGCCTGTCCGGGAACAAGACACCAGACAGACATGATCTTGGAGCTCAGAGCAGCTCCACTCCAGAGAGGTTCGATGGTGCTCCTGCTGGCTGCCCGCTGGGGACACAGGTCCAAAACCATCCTTCCTTCTCCCTCGCATCGCCCGGGGCAGGGAGGCCAGACACCCGAGGTCAGAGCGGAGGGAGGATGCCCACAGGCCACACAGCCGCTGCCCCAAGGCCCGCATCCTCCCCTGGACGGTAACCTTCTGACCACGTGTAGCAGGAAGCTCCCGTAACACCCAGAGGAGGTGGAGCTCTGCTTTTCCTGAGAGCAGGGCACTCTCAGAGGGAGACAGGCAGGCCCTGAGGCCCTGGGGGCCCCTCCCCTGTCCCCCCACCAGCTGTCCCAGGGCAGGGTCCCGTCAAAGCTGGGTTACGAGGTCACTCGGGAGATTTGGGGCGGAGCTCCGCCTGCATCGGACTCTTGGCCGCTTTTCTTCACGACGTAACACAGCAAATGTGGGAGGCCTACTGTGTGCAGGAGGCCTGCCAAGGCCTGCTGGGGTCACCTCCTGCAGCCAGTTCCTACGCCGACCCGCAGGACCAGGGCATGGGTGTGCGGCCCGGGGCCGGGACCAGCTGGGCCTGCTCCCGAGTCCCGGCTGTGGGTGCAGAGCTGGGGCCCCGCCCTCACCTGGTTGGCATCGTAGGAGAAGCCCCTCCGCAGCTGCAGCAGGGCCAGCCGCGCCAGCACGGGGGCCGCCTGGGGCCTCCGGGACAGGGCCACCAGCAGCGCCTTGTGGGCGTCGTCCAGGCGGCCCAGGCGGTACAGGGCGTCGGCCGCCAGGAGGTGCGAGGCCTCGTCCTCTGCGTCCAGCTCCATCAGGAGCACGGCCAGCTGGTGCACGCCCTGGGCGTTCCTGCTGAGAGAGCAGCCGGCGGAGCGAGGGCCCCTTCCCCACGCCCTTCCCCCGCTCCCCATCCGGGTGGGCCGGCGCCAGGCCAGTCCTGGCCCACGCTCCTGGGCCAGGGTGCTGCCTTCCCGCCGAGATGCGGGGGCCAGGGCGCTGCTGGAAGGACCCTCAGGGGCGCTGCTGGAAGGACCCTCAGCCCTCCCCCATCCGCCCACCGCCCCGCGGGGCAGGCGTCTCGGGGAAGGCAGGACCGAGGCTGCGTGTTGACCCCAGCCGACCCTGCCTGACTCTCCTCTTCTGCAAAAACAAGGTGGCAAGGTGTGTGCCAGTGGGCTCAGGGGTGCGTGTTAGGCAGAGAGCCAGGAGACAAACCGGGGTGCCCTCCCAGTGCCCCCGGAAAGGGAGACGAACTGCCCCTGGGGGAAGGGGTGGGCAGCCTGGAGTGTGAAGACCCCCAGAGAGAGAGAGAGCAAAGGTACAGGGGCACCCACGAGAAAATTCCTCCCCACCCGCAGATCAAAGGGATGCAAATCAGGCAGCCGGGCAGCGGAGGAAGTGTGTGCGAGTGCGCGCGTGTGTGTGGTGACATCAAACACAGCCCCGGGAGGCCCCGCTCGGGGCCTGTAGCTCAGAACAGCTTCGGAGTCACCGCAGGGCTGGCGGAAAGTTTGCAGAGGAAACCGCGGGCTGGGCGTGGGCCCAGACGGGCGGGCGGGCGGCTCTCAAATTCCGGGGCCTCCCGGGGCCACATTTGCTGACCCAGGCGTGCCCCCTTGGCCTCCGGGGTAAGGGCAGACCTCGGGGGCGAGGGGACAGCGCTAGGGGGCGTGGCAGCGAAGGGCAGAGCTGCGGGGCCACGAGGCCCGGCTGGCGGCACAGGACGCACGTGCGGTCCCCTGAGGGGAGAGCCCAGCGGCCCGAACGGCACGCCCAGCACAGGTCCTTTTGCGAACCAGGTTTACACGCACACCCAGAGCCAGCTAGCGGGGTGCCTGACGGTGGGGCGATGGGTCGCTTTTACTTTCCCGATTCCGCGCTTGAGTTCCCAATTTCCTATAAGTCAGTCCTTAATGCGTCGTCACAGTTAAGGACTGAGATCTGGGCCCCGGCACTAAATTCGCCACCGATGACTCGGAGAAACCACCCGCTGCGCCCTGCCTCGGCTCACGCATCCGCAGGACCCAAGACACACGCCTGGCCACCGCGCGGGAGCCCAGAACGACGCAGCCCAGGACAGTGCACGCACGCGGGGGCTAGTGTTTACCCTTCTGGCGCCGCCGCCGCCGGGCTGTCCACCTCCGCCGCCCGCCTCCGGCGGCCCTGCGCGCCCGCGGGCCCCGGGCCGGGCCTCCGCTGCAGCATCCTGCGGCCCTCTTCCCGCAGCACGGTCAGCAGCAGCCCCCGCTGGTTCCAGGGCACGTAGGCCTTGGCGATGAGCAGGGCCTCGTCAGGCCGCAAGCGGCAGGCGGTGACGTAGTCCAGCGCGCCCAGGAACGCGCTGCCCGCCAGCACGCGCAGCAGCCCGCGGCCGCACAGTGCACGCACACAGCCGCCCGGGTGCGGCGGCCCTTGCTCCACCACCTCCTGGAAGTCCTCCCGGGCGCACCGCGCGTCGCCGGTGTGTAGCGCGCAGAAGCCTCGAAGCGCCAGCAGAGGCGCGCGGTCCCCGGCGCGTTCGCTGGCACGATCTTTGGGGCGCGTGGGCCGCAGCAGGCGCTCGCACAGCGCCCGGGCGCCCGCCGCATCCCCGGCCAGCAGCAGGCACTCGGCCAGGCGGGCTCCCAGTGCCGGGCGCGCCCCGGGCGGCGCCACGCGCAGCAGCACACGGAGAGCGCGGGTCACCGGGGCCAGCAGCTCGCGGTCCGAGTCCTCGCGGAGCTCCGGGCGGCTCCGCACCGCCTCCTGGAAGCGGGCAAACCCCACATCCGCCACTTCCTGCGCCTGGGCCCTCACGCGCTCCCGGTCCTCTGCGGAGAGCACGGCCTCGAACTGCCTCCGCGCCCCCGACGGGCTCTCGCGGAAGGCCTCGTGCAGGTCCCGCAGCAGGTCCTGGGCCCCGCTGTCCAGGAAGAAGGCTGCGGCGGCGCGGGTGACCAGCAGGGCAGCCAGGCGCTCACCTGGGGCAGAGAACAGAGGACCTGTGGGGCTGGGTGCTACCGGGTGCCCGCTGTAGCGCCCCAGCCGTCCGGCGCTTGGGACCCTCAGAGGCGCTGCGGAAGCACATCTCCCAGGACTTCGCGCCCCAGGAGGAGCCGGGCAGAGGCTGGGAGCTCGTTGGTGCTGGAGCAGCATCGGAAGCGGGCGGGACAGCGCGCATGCGTGTGGGGGTGGGGGTGCAGCTGCCCGGGAGGCCCCCGCAGCCCTGCCCCCTCAGTTTGGGTCCAGAGTCGGTCTCCGGCTCTGCCAACATGGAGATTTAGTTACAACACCTCCTCCCCAGCCCCCAGCCCCCAGCCCCCAGCCCCCAGCCCCCAGCCCCCGCCTTTTAGTCGTAAACCCGAGGGTCGACCCCCACCAGCCCCAGGCCAGAGCCGAGGCCCGACTGGGTGACCTGGGTGGGGGCGGCCGACGGTGAGATCCCGAGTCTGTGCTTCTCTGGGCTGCATGGGGACCCCACGCTTCCCTCTCGGAAGCAGAGACCTCCGGTCAGGCCCAGGGAAGGCGGGTCCGCTGGCCAGACAGGGGCACTCGGCCGCCTCCTGTGCCTCCGTTTCCTCTCCTGCTTTGAAGTGGGGTGACATCGAGGCTACAGTCACCTCAGAGCTGCGGGAATGAACTGGACTAACGGGGCCCGGAGCCCCGGACAGGGCCGGTGGGGACAGCATTACTCAGTGAGCGCCCTGGTCACGTCCAGAAAGCCAGGCCGCTCCATAGCAGCCTCCCGGGCAGGCGCACACCCTCAGAGAACCCCAGAGACCTCGGTGCTGGCGGGGGCTGGAGGTCATGGGCGCCCCCCCTGCCGTGGTACAGGTGAGGAAGGGGCGGCAGGGAGGGGGTGTCCTCAGAGCCCCTGCGTGTGTCCACCCCAGGCCTCTGAACCCCCACGTGAGTGCGTCCTGCACAGAGCCGTTCAGAAGCGTCAGAGAGTGTCCTTTACGATGACCACAGCCCCTTCCAAGGCAGCAGGAGCAGGCACGGAAGCCGTCTGCCACCGCCCTGCTCTGCTGTCGTCGTGGGCGGGTGTCACCTCCCAGCCCCGAGCCAGACACAGACAAGCACCTCGCGCCCTGCCACCAGCCAACCAGTGCAGCGGCCGACAGCAGGTCCCCCGTCTAGTCCTGGCGGCCAAAGTAAAAGCAAAACAACAAAAATGAAATGGGAAATGACAATGAAGCAACCGGAGCCTTTCCCGTCGGTGACTGACCCCGACACAGTAACTCCGTGGTGGCGGCAGCGGGGGGGGGGGGGGCAGGGAGCACTGGGGCGCGGCTGCTTCTCCCCCACGCACGCGGCCGTGTGCTCTCTGCTCGCTCCCGCGCCCGAGGCCGCCCCCGCTGGACGTCTCCGTGCTGTCCCCGGCACGAGGCCCCGCACACTCCCCCGCTGTGTGTCCTCTCGGGTAGGCGCGGTGACCTCTGCCGCCTCCAGCAGGCCACGGAATGTCTCGTTTGCTGCTGTGCTTTTCCGACGCCAGAGTTTTCAGAGTTTCCACTACTTGCTGAGACTCCCCGTCTGTTCATTCATGACGACCACGTTTTCCTTTGGTCCTCGAGTGTATCACTCACAGTTCCTTCAAGGTCCTCCGTGTGCCGACTCGGGCCCGTGGATCACCTCGAGGTCGGTCTCCGGCGACTTTCCTCCCGACCATGGCTCACATTTCCTTTTCCCGCTTCTTGGCCCGTCCAGCACTTTTTAAAACTGCACCCCACACGTCCGGCTGATGTTTGGCAGAGCCGGGCCCAGCTGCGTGCCCCTGAGGAGAGCAGAACTTGGCTTCAGCAGGCGGGCGGGCGGGCAGAGTCACGCCAGCAGCTGGGGCGTCCGAGAGGTGCGTGCGGTCGGTCTCCAGCTTCTGTGTTTTCGACCACCCGGCCCCTCCCTGGCCCACGCAGCTCGGTGGTCAGCTGAGGACGGAAGTGGGTTCAGCACGCTGACTCTGGGTCTCACCCCGACCGTGCCTTCCTCCTCTCCAGGACTTTCCCTTCTACCTTGCCAGCCCCTGCCCCCCAGCCCTGCACCCTGAGCTGGGACCGCCTGCCCTAGGACCGCCTGCCCTGGGACAGCGCACGCCGGTGAAGCTGCCGTGTCCTGCTTCACACGCATGGACCCCGGACTGAGGGGTTCCCTCAGCAAAAAGCTGCAAGCGCGCGAACCTCACCTCCGCAGCCCCCGAGGGTCAAGGGCCGACGTCCGGTTCCTGGCTGCGTTGGCTTGCCCGCCTGTGCCTACGCGCGGCTGCTTGTGGGTTCTGTCCCGACCCCATCACCGCCGCCTGCGGGCACCCGGTCTAGTCCGGGGGCTCGGCCGGGCCGCAGCCAGCCTCCCCCGGGGTCAGGCCTGCAGGTGCTGGCCGTCTGGGGGGACGTGACATGCTCCGCCCGTGTTGGTTTGGTTTCATTTCCCTGGTTGCTGGTGAGGCTCGTCCCCTCCCAGTCCGGTGGGGAGCAAGGGGTATCTCGCTTTCAATCGCATTTGTGTTGTCATTAGGATGTGGAGGGTTCCCACATGGTCATTAGCCATCTGTGCTTGCTCCGCGGGGCCATCCGTGGGCCCCACGCTTTACTGTGTTCCTGTTGACACGCAGGAATTCTTCAAATACTCCGGTTATTACTTTTTTGCCCATTGTATATTTTGCAAATATTCTTTCTTTGTTGTGGCTTGTCCTTTCATTCTCTATAGTTATGGGCCAAACAGAAGGCTAAGATTTTTAATTTCATCACATGCATCAAATTTTCCTTCCTTCTTTCTACTTTTCTTTTGTATCTTAATGAGCCCAGCTGTTCACAGAGGTCCCATGGATATTTTCTTCCACTTTCATTCCCGCAAACCTCAGCTGCTGACACGGTCCCTGTGGACGCCCCTTTCCTGCGTGGTTTGAAGTGGGGTATCGGCCCCCGTCCACTGAACAAAGGTCCTCCCCTCTCCCTGTAGGTCTGCGGTGCTCACGCTTGCATATTAACTTCCCGGGGGCTCTGCTTCTGGCAGAGTTTGTTTTCTTGGCCTTTCTGTCTCCCCCTTGAGTCTGCACTGGTTAGTGCAGTTGTGCACCAACTGGTAGAGCAAACCCTACAGCACCGCCTTCTTCTCCGTCTCCTCCCCCTCTCCTTCCCTCCTTCACCTGCCTTCCCTCCCCTCCTCCCCCTTCCTTCCCCCCTCCCCCTCCCCTCCTTCTTCATCTTGTCTGTTACTGGCCCTTTGCTTTTCTATTATATTATCAAATCTTTCTGACCATAGACATCTAATATCTCTCTACCTATATAATTATTTTTTAAAGTGGGTTTTATTTATTTAAGATTTTATTTATTTTTAGAGAGGGAAGGGAGGGAGAAAGAGAGAGAGAGAAACATCAATATATGGTTGCTGGGGGCCGTGGCCTGCAACTCAGGCATGTGCCCTGACTGGGAATCGAACCTGCGATGCTTTGGTTTGCAGCCTGCGTTCAATCCACTGAGCTGCACCAGACAGGGCATCTACCTATATAATTATTTTTTATTGTCTTTTAGTAAAGTTTTATACTTTTCTTCATAAAAATCATTTGATTCTGAAATCAGTTATTCTCTATTGCTATAGTAAATGGTAGGTGTTTAAACAACACAATTTGTAGTTCTTGCTGGTGTCTATAAATGTAAATGCTTTTAGTATAGGCTGTTAAATTCTGTTCCTGTATTTGATACGTTTTTGTTGTTTCTCTTGGGGTTTGTTTCTACAGAGCTACTTATGTTGTGTGGAATAGTAACTTTGTTCCTTCTTTTCTGTCTTACCTGTTTTTCTCCCTTCTTATTGCATTGGCCAGCATCTCCAGCACAATGAGGGATAAATGGGAGAGCAGGCAGCCACCTCATTCTTGATTTTTAATGGAAGGCTTCTAAAATATCACCATTAAGTATTATTTTTTGGTAGTTTTTTTCAAAGTTATTTTAACCTGGCTGGCATAGCTCAGTGGATTGAGCGCGGGCTGCGAACCAAAGCATCGCAGGTTCGAGTCCCAGTCAGGGCACATGCCTGGGTTGCAGGCCACGGCCCCCAGCAACCGCACATTGATGTTTTTCTCTCTCTCTCTTTCTCCCTCCCTTCCTTCTCTAAAAAAATAAATAAATAAAATCTTAAAAAAAGTTACTTTAAAAAAAGATTTTATTAGAGAGATGGGAAGGGAGAGACAAACATCAATGTGTGGTTGCCTCTCACACGCCCCCAACTGGGGGTCCGGCCCACAGCCCAGGCATGTGCCCTGACTGGGAATCAAACCTGCGATGCTGTGATTCACAGGCCGGCACTCAATCCACTGAGCCACACCAGCCAGGGCTAAGGACAAATTCTGAACGAACAGTAAGCAGTGAATGGGCAGTGAGCAGTACCACGGCCACGGAAGTCGCAGTGAAAGGGCAGGCGTGCGGCTCCGGCACCAGGGCGTTTTCGACACGGATGGCCTTTCTGTGTGGTGGTTAATGAAGAACGCTGAGCCCACGGGGGATGGCTGCCGGGGGCTTCGGGAGGGTAAGCGCTCGGGAAACCCCGGCGCACGGGGGCTCACGCGCCGCGAGAGTCGAGCCGAAGCCCCTCGGACTCTGCGTCTCATCCCGCGTGTCCGCTTGGGGAGACGGGCAGCGCTTCCCACACACAGGGAGGGTGTGTGGGGTGTCCGAGGGCTTTCGGCTGGCGGCCTACGGCTCGAATGCGTCTGTTATGGGAAACGGCATTGGTAAGAGGCGCGTGACGGGAAACTTCTTTGTTCGAGTTGTGAGCCACACTTGTGCAGCTGGTGGTGACGGGGGGCTCCCTGTGGCACAGATGACTCACGTCCAGGGGGTGCCGGAACCCCCAGGGGAGGGGCTCCTGCCCAGGTCAGAGCCGGGTCAGGACCGGCAGGCTTCCTGGCAGCCTCCCCCCTGGAGGTGGGGGCACTGGTTGTTTTTTGTTTTTGTTTTTTTTTTAGCACACTTATTGTCTGAGGCTGCAGCTCTTTGGGGGGCTCTGGACTTCTGCAGGGCCTCTACTGGTCAGTAAAGTGGAAGACCCCCCGCCCCGGGAGTCACTGAGTGCCCCTGACCTGCCGTGGCGTTGGCCCCTGCTCAGCAGTGACAGCATACTGCTTTTGTTTCGGGCAGGGAGGGTCCCCTGCTCTTCCACGAGCTCAGGATTCTTTGTGATTCTGCTGGGCGTTTTTATGCCTTGTACAGTGGGAGGCTTTCAGGGTGTCTGGCCCAGCATATTTCCAAAAACAACCTGCCCACTCACTTTTCTGTCCTCTCCGGCCCCCTCCTGCACTGGGGCACCTCCCCCCCCCACCTGAGGCTCACGGCACAGACACCCCCGTCCGGGCCTCAGGGACCCCCAGCGGCGGCTCCCGCACACGGCACCGCTCTGCGTCTTGCCGATGCCCTCGCCAGTGCCTTCGGGGGACACCGTTTCAAGGGTGTGGCACACATTTTCTTCTTCTTCTTCCTCTTTCTCTTTCTTCTTCCTCTTCCTCCTCCTCCTCTTCTTCTTCTTCTTCTTTCTTTTCTTCTTCTTCTTCCTCTTTGTCTTTCTTCTTCCTCTTCCTCCTCCTCCTCCTCTTCTTCTTCTTCTTCTTCTTCCTCTTCTTCTTCTTCTCTCTCTCTCTCTCCCTTTTTAAAACCCAAAATGCGTTGATTGGGGTGGTTCCCCACTCATCCTGACTGGGGGTGCTTTCAGCGCTGCTTCCTTCTGAAGGGGCACCCCTCGGCCAGCCTGCGGCTGACTCCTCCTGTGGGTGACGGAGGACAGGGGTGCGGCTGGCACATGAGTCTGGCACCCGTGCAGGGCGAGTTTACAGCGTCCTGGGCACTTCCCGTCCCCGAGGCCGGGACTGAGGTTCGCGTCCCCTCCTCTCCTCTCCTGCAGAGGGACGCAGGGGTCCTTTGAAATTGCTGTGGGGAGGGCGTCACTGCTGGAAAGCTCTCTCTCTCTCTCTCTCTCTCTCATTCTTTTAACACACACAAGTCCTTGCTTTACTAACCCCGTCAGCAGACCCCGCGGGGTCACCGCCGAGGGTCACCTCTGCGGTGCTGACTCTGTTCCTGACGCCTCTTCTGCCGGTGGGGCTGGGGCACGCACGTCGGAGCCTGGGCTCATTTTTCCTCGCGTGGTCCCAGGACGTGACAAAGCCAGTGGCCTGGCCGCCACCCGGCGGGGTTCTGACTCAGAATACAGAGATGACGTCTGGTGGGGTCCGCAGGTTGGGGCGAGTTTTCCCACCTTTCCGTCCCAGGCACCGCTGCCTCCCCGGGCTGGGCGACGTCGGAGCCCCTTCGTTTCCGCTGGAGTCGCCTGTTGCCACGACCTCCCCCGCCGAACAGTCACTGTGTCACCCCCGATGGGGACGGCCTTCCGGCAGGTGGGGAGGACAAACGTGGGATGCGCATTTCACGGAACCCCCACAGCCAGGCTGAGAGGTGGGCGTGGCCGCGGGGAGGCAGCTGGAGAGGCCACTCAGCTGGGACGGGCTCCGAGTGCCCCAGGCAGGCTGCAGTGCGGCTCCGGGGGGCTCCGGGCGCCCACCCGGCTAGCTGCCCCAGCCTCAGGACCAGGACCCGGCACAGGGGCCGGGCAGGAGCAGCACCTCACATGGGGTGTGTGCGTGTGAGCCCCGGCACCCCCGTCTCCCCGCCTGCCGCTCCCCTGCCCTCTGCATCCCGGTTGCGAGAGGTGAACTGTCAGAACCCTTGCTGACCTTCCCCCATCCCCCCGTCTCCGCCCTTAAATCCCACCCCAATCTCACTGTTTCTGATGCAGTGACGGAGCCTCAGACCCGCCGTCGGGCTCCAGCGCTTCCCTCTCAGTCCTCCACCGCGTCGCTCCTTCCGGCCTCCCGGCCCGGCCCACCTCCTCCCGGCCCCGACCCCCTCCCGGCCGCCCAGGAGGCTGGGTTCACTCCCGGCTCCCTGGGCACCTGCCGCACCCAGCAGCTGGGGCAGACTGTGCACAGGGAACTCGGAGCACCTCACACTGCGGTTTCAGCCCCCCCCCCCCAGCTCTCGCTCCTCTGAGGGTAAACTCGGAGGGTGTTCCCGGTCAGGAGGACGTAGCCAGGGCTCCGGTCTCCGGGGCCTCCAGTCTCCTGCTACCCCTCCCGCCACCCCTCCCGCCACCCCAGCTCCATTCAACGCCACGGACACGCCGGGCTCCCTCTCCTCCAGCCTCCCGGCAGTTTCGGTGTCTGCTGTCTGAATCCTTGTCGCAGCTGAAACGACACCTCCTCCCAGAAGCCCTCCCTGACTGTCCGGCTAGAGGCACGCCTTGCGTGTCCCATTTCCCAAAGCACTTGTTTTGTTTGCGTCCTTTCTCGGGGTCTCCGTCCGGGCAGGGGCTTGTTCTCCTGGTGCCCACGGTGTCCCTGGCCTCAGCACGACCCCCCGCCCCCACCACAGGCAAGACTTAACTGTGCCGTGAGGGATGGCTGGAGCGACTTTCGCCCTGACCTGACCCCCGGGGAGACGCGGCCCGCACCCCTACCTTGGGGTCCACCGCCGGTCGGGTCGGACTCGAGGGCCCGGCTGCACGCCGCCCGGCAGTCTTCATACCGGCCGCTGCGGAGCAGAGCTTCGGGGGACTGGGCGCTGCCCCAGCAGCCCCCGGGGTCCAGGGCCGCTAGGAGCCTCTGGCAGTTGGAGTCCTGCTGCCAGGCGCTGCCCCCGGCCCGCCAGCTCCTTGAGATGTGGCCCTGCAGGGCGCTGACCAGCGCGGGGAGGTAGGGCTGCTGGTGGGCCAGGACGAAAGCCACCGTGCGCTCGGGCCTTGAGGCGAAGGCCTGAAGGTAGTCGGCCAGCCCGGTGTCCACCTGCTCCCCGGACAGGACCCAGGCCAGGGCGCGGGTCAGCCGCAGCTCCAGGGCCTGCTGGGAGTGCGTGTCCAGCAGGGCGCCGCACCGCCGCACCACCTCCCCGTGGCGCCCGTGGGCCAGCAGCCCGGCCAGGGAGTGCAGGACGGCGGCCGGGTGGTCCGGGCACAGGGTGGCCAGGAAGGCGGAGGCCAGGGTCCCCGTCAGGGACACCACGGCCATGCCGTCCCAGTGGATGGCTGGGATCTGGCTGTCCCCTCGGCACCAGGCCTCCAGGGTGGCCACCACGGGCGCCCCCCGAGCGTCGGCCAGGGCGGCTCGGACGCTGCGCACCGCGGAGGGGGCGTGGCAGCTGAAGGCAGCCAGGTAGAAGGCGGTGGCCAGCGGCGGCTCCCCCAGGGCCAGGTGCTGGTCGCCCTCGCGGCAGAGGCAGGCCACGAGCTCCTGGGCCGACATCACGCCCGCGCCGCCGACGGGCCCACGTCCAGTCCGCACGGGCACCTGTGGAAGGGCGGGGCGGGGAGTGCGGTCAGGGCTTGGACGGCGGGTAGCCCCTCGGCCCTGCAGCCCCCAGCCCTGCAGCCCCCAGCCCTGCTACGGAGCAGCCTCCGGCCCGGCCCCACTGAGACCCCCGTGCCAGCGTGGAGCCCGGTTGAGGGAGAGCAGGGTGCGCTCAGCTGCGAGGGCGGAGTGTGCTCAGTGGGCGGTCTCCCTGGGCTGGGGGTGTTGACCGGGCTCCACCTGGCCGGGCTCCCAGCCCACGTTAGCCTCTGGGCCTCAGCCCCCTCCTCCGCAGAGCGGGCCGGGCCGCTGCCCAGCAGCTGACACGCTCCGCAGGATGCCCGGGCCGCCCTCTGCCCCTGCCGGCACAGCCCCTCAGGAAGGCGGAACCCCCGGACCCCCTCATCACCCGGGTCACACAAGCATCCCCCGGCCTTCTCAGGACTGACCCCACAGACCTGCCCGACCTCGGGGCCACACCCCCGCCCCGCTGCCTCACCTGTGCAGTGCGGGCCGGAGCGGGTGCTGGGTCGCTGAGGGGCACCTGCGGGCTCTTGGGTGGTGGCCAGGATCTGAGCCGGGGGACCAGCCCCGTCGTGCCCTCTGCCCTCCCACACCCTCGGCCGAAGAAGTAGCTCCTGCACCAACAGCCCGGCCCCTCCCGTCTCCCAAAGCGCCCGCGGACCAGCCCGCACCCTGCCAGCGCTGACAGCCAGACTCGCGCAGGAGCACACGGGCTCACACGCTCACACGCTCACACATACACATACTCACACGTGCACGCACAGGGTCGCTGGCCTGCGCAGGGAGCACAAGGAGGGCAAAGGCTCACGCGCCCCAAACTGGCTGGTGGGGGGCAGAGCAGGGGTGGGCGCGTCCCTCTAGAGGGTCCGCGGGCTGGGCTCCCAGGCGCCCCACCAACGCTGAGCCGCGGGCTGCGGGGGCCCGTGCGTTTCCCTGGAGCGCGTCAACACCCGCCACCCGCGGCTCAGCGGCGCCCCCAGCGGCCGGGCGCCCCGGCCGGCCCCACCTTTCGGCCCGCCCCCACCCGGCCCTCGGCCCCGCCCCCTGACGGGCTCCCGGGCTCCCCAGCCTCAGCGCGGGGCGGGTCCGGGCTCCGCGCAGCCTCGGAGCCGGTTTTGGGGGCTCAGAGGGCGGGGCCACTGGACGCCAGGGCGGGGCTGACCGCGCTGTAGGGCCGCCCTCTCCCCACACCCTCGCTGTCCTCGCCGAGGAGGAAGTAGCCGAGGGGCGGGTGGGGTTCGCCTGTGCCTCTGCTGCCCCCGGAGCTCGGCCGGGCTGCTGCTCAGGGCCCTTTCTGCCGGCCTCCTGAAGGCTGCTGCCAGGGAGAGCGCCCCCAGGCCGCCGGCCGCCCGCGTTACTCGGGTCTTCCCAGCCGCGCTGCGCCCTCCCCGCAGGCCCGCCCCCTCCCCGCTGGGGAGGGCAGACCGCACCCCCTGCCTTTCCAGCCCTTTCTGGCCAGCGTCCTCCCTCTGGGCCCGTTCTCTCCGTGGGGCGAGGCCCAGAAGGCGGCTCCGAGGAGGGGGTGACATGAGCCTGCAGGCTGGGGTCACCCCACCTGTAGGTGAGGAGGGGGCTGCCGCGTCAGGTGGTATTTTAGGAACCCTGCACCCGTCCCCCCCAAGAGCAGGAGGAAAGGGCCCTGCACAGGAGCTGCCCTGGGGGCCCCTGGGGAGAGGGTGGCAAGTCCCCGGGAAGATGGGGCTGCTTTGGGCATGGGCGCCTCCCCACTCGGGCTGCCAAGGGCCTTCGCGCCCGCAGGGACCCGCAGGGAGCCAGGTGGGTGCCCACGGCGGGGGCGTGGGCACAGCAAGGCAGGCGTGGGGGCGCTGGGAGTGCGGGCGCTGCGTCTCCGCTTGCCTTCCCAGGGCCCGGTCTCCTGGGACGCGGCCCCGTGGCCCGTCGGGGGTCTGGGCCAAGGTCGGGTTCAGCAGGCCGGTGTGGTCAGCAGGGCCTGGTCCTCCTGCCCGGCTCCTGGCCTGCGCCGCAGCCCCTCGACCTTCACGGGGGCGCCGTGCCCGAGCGGTGGACGCGGTGGTGACAGCTTATTAAGAGATTGCCCGTTGCTTTGATGACGTTCATTTTAATTACCCTAATGAGGCCGGAGCGGAGCGGTAATGGAGCGGGCTGTCACCGGGCTGCGGGAAGGGCCTGGGGCAGGAGGCAGGGCTGCCTGGCACTCGCAGCCGCGTTAGCCCGATGAGTCCCCGGAGCCTCTGCCCAGCACTCGGGGCCCGAGGACCCGCAGGCACCGGCCAGATGAGCCCAGCGGTCTTGGCACGTCATGAGCTGTGGTCGCAGCCCCCGCCTGGACACAGGTGACCGACTGCAGGGCACCTGCTTGTGCCGTGGGGGTCGGGGCGCAGGACCCGGAGTGGCTGTGGTGGGCTCTGACGTGCCTGCCCGGCGAGGCCCAGATTCGGAGGGGGGCCGCCTTCCCTCCGCTGCGGCAGGAGGCTCCCCCATTTCTGACGGGTCTGGGCTCTTGCCCTCTGCACTGCCAGGCTCGCCACAGCCTCGACGGGACAGGACGGGGCAGGCGGCGTCCTGGTGGGAATTCGTGGCGAGGGCACAGCTGCACAGCGTGAGGGGCAGACGGAGTTTCACTGTGCAGGGCGCGTCAGGCTCCGGCCGGACACACTTGGGCTGAGGCCCCTCCTGCCGTGCCGCGGCCGAGTGGGAGCGGGGCCGGCGGAGCCCAGGGCCACCGCCACCACGGAGCCCAGGGGAACATGCGAGCAACACGGGTACGCACGGGAGTGTTTCTGGGGCCCCGGAGACCGTTCCTTGTGCTCCGGGTGGTCTGCCTGCCTGTGGACGTGTCACACCCCCCGGCTGGGCTCAGGGAGGGACCCCCGAAACAGCACCCTGAGGTGCTCGGTCCCAGCAAGGGCACGGGGTGCCCGCTGCAGAGGCCGAGATGCTCCCCGCCCCCCCGCCCCCCGAGTCTGGAAAGAGGGCTCCCAGCGCCGGGATGAGCGCTCTCTTTGGACATGGAAGGCGTTTACGAGAGTGGCCGGTCGGCAGCGGCCTTGTAGTGACCTTACGCTTCTGAGGGTTCCACCTCACTCACAGTGGGGGGGCAGGCTGCTCCTGGGCCCCGTCCACAGACGCACCGAGCTGGGTGGCCCCCCGCCTGGGCCAGGGAGCTCCTGCTGCGTCGTCACGACCCCTCAAGGGCTCCCGAGGGGGACCAAGGCTGTTGGGCCGGAGAGCCCACTGCACCCACTGCGTGCACAGGAGCAGGGGTGCCGCCCCCCGCCCACGGCTGGCCTGCCCTCCAGACTCCCGAGAGCCGCCCCAGGCCGGCCCCACCCCAGCGCCAGGTCCAGAAACCAAGGCGTGGCTGCCAGGCGAGGTCCCTGCCTCCAGACCCTGTGGCGGCCGCGGCCCCAGGCGGCCAGGAGAACAGTGCCAGCCCTTGGCACCCCAGGCCAGCGTCACCGCCAGGGCCCAGGGCGCAGCTCCCCGACAGGGGCCCTTGGCACGACCCTGGAAGTGGATGGGTGGCCTCGCGCCCCCGTGCCCCCAGGGGCATGGGAAGAAGGACAGGGCCCGCGCAGCCCCGGGCTGAGCTCACGCTGTCCTGCTGCGGGCTCCCGAGGGCCCCACCCGCCCCCTCCACGGGGGGCGCAGCCAGGAAGGCCCACTGGTGTCCTCGGCCGATCCTGATGTCGGGGGGGGGGCGCTCGGTAACTGCCCCTGCACCAACGCCCCCAGGGGTGACCTTGGACTCTCTAATGGTGCCCCCCCGCCCCCCGTCATGGGGTGCCGCTCTGGTCCTGCCTGAGCAGCCTTTTCACCTGCGGGGGCGGGGATGGCCCTTACCTGAGGCTGCAGTGGCCCCGGGGGTCACCAGATGAAATCCCCGCCCCCGTCCCTGCCGCCGGACGGGCAGGAATTGCAGGCAGAGTTCACGGTCCCTGAGCGGGTGGCCTCCCCCCTCTGGTCCCGTCCTCCTGGCCCCACCACCCCGGCCTGAACCCCTCCCCCAGCCTCACCGGCCTCGCCCGGCGAGCTTCTAGCCGGCCGGTGGGCGGGCGAGTGGGCGCCTGCACACCTGCTGTGGGCGGCTCCCCGTCTGTCCCTGATCAATAAGTAATGCAGCGGGGGCGGGGCGTCCCCACCACTGCCCTCGCCTGCCCGCCCGCCCGCCCGCCTGCTGCTCTGGGAGCGTTTGCATCTCAGTGGCAGGGCTGGTGGCTTGCGGAGGGCCGCCTCTGCCCCAGGGGCGGCATCGTGGGTTCAGCTCCGTCTGAGGGGCGCCGGTTGCAGACATGATGCCCCAGGTCGGGGAGGTCGCCCTAGGTTTCCGGGGCCCCCTCGCACGCTCGGCTCACTTCCTGCCTCTGCCGCCTTCTCCCGTCCCCCTGCGCCCCGCCCACTGTGCCACCCACCCCGTGCCCTGACCGTCCTGTGTCTGCCCCAGGACCTTTGCACGGCCCCACACTCCCTCCCTCGCTTCCTTCCGGCCCATCGTCCCTCCTTGAGACCCTTGCTGGGCCCTCCCCTGCAGTAGCCCCGCTCCTCCCGGCCCCTCCGCCGCTCCTCCGCTGCTGGCCCCCGTCTGTGGCAGGCTTTTCCCACTGGGGTGGTGGCCCCAGGAGGCGGAGTCAGTCTGCCACCGCCCGCCCGGCAGGTCCCTGGCAGGTGAAGAGGGAGGGAGGGAGGGAGGACGGAAGCCGGGCCCCCTGGACCTCAGCACTGCTACTCGGGGCCACCAGACCCTCCCTGGGAAGTCGGCCTGCAGCCACCGACGCCCCCAGATTCAGCCCCCTAAACAGGCGCCGTCTCCCGTGGCCCTCAGAGCAGACTCCGGGGAGCCCGGAAAGCAGGGCCTCGGGAAGCTCCCTTCCGCCGACGTCGCCCGATGCTCTCCTGCGCCGTCCCTGCCTCTGCGACGTGGGCACCGGCCGGGCGGGAGATGGATGGGCCGGGCCCGCCGGCCGCTGGGCGCCCGGGCCTCCGTCGGCTCACACTAACGAAGTTTACCAACCAGGCACGGAACCATTCATCACGCAGAAAAATAACACAGCAAAATGACTTTTCAAAATGTCGTTGGTATAATTATCATCACGCCCGTTACACTAAATGCCGCCATTTGTATCTGCAACGTTAAGTATGCAAACAGTAATTAACGTGGTAATGAACCGGGGGCCCCAGAGCCTCCCCTCCCAGAGCTCATTTGCATGTTAATTATCATTAGTGACCAGGGAAACAAGTTATGAACAGCCTAATTAGCAGCCGGTTCATTTTTACCAGGAACTGTATGTGCTCTGACACGCGAGCGAGGATCAGATTAATGAGGTGAGGCGAGCGGCCTCTCCTGGGGGGGGGGCGGTGCACTTGATGTGGTGGCTTCGGTGGCCCGGCTGGCCTTGGCGGTGTCAGGAATTGGTACCACGGCTTGCTGCCTCGCTCGAGGGGGGTGGGGTGCAGGTGCGCCCCGAGAGTGTGGGCGAGGCTGAAGGTGGAGGCTGAGGTGTCAGGACCCCTGCACCCTGTCGACTCGGGCTGCCGCCTGGGGGAGCGAAGGGTCTGGCCTGGGCCGGGTGCCTCGGGGGTGGGAGGGGTCGCTGTAGAGGTGA